ATATAGGTAAAATATTTTAGAGGTATATAACATATATTTAACACCCTCCACTTGTTGGGGAATTTTTTTTTCACTTCTTTCAAGTTTGAACACCCTTGGGGAAATTTCTGGCATTGCCACTGGTGATGAGCCACGTGCCTTCAGAGGCGGATGTAGTGTATTACTACCGGGTTCAATTGTACCCTTAACTTTCGACGCGGAGTAAAAATTTATGTGTAAAAATTTATTACAATTGCAAAAATAGTAGATATGAACCCATAACTTTAAATATATAATGGGTTTAAATGCTAAAACCCTTAAAAGCTGAACCCATAGAATTTAAATCCTGGGTCCGCCTCTGCAAGCCTTAGCATGTTTGCGCCTACACAAAGCCACTTAAGCAAGGCGAAGGGCACAACTTGGCTTCAACTGAGTTTCAGTGCTTAAGCGCGCTTCAAACGAACCTTTAAAAGCACTGGTTCTTTATGTGGTTTTCTTTTTTCCAATTTTTGTCATATAGGCTGAATAATGGAAAAAAACTGACTCTTATAGCTGAAACTAATTACAATTGTAGTTACTAAAAATTAAATATGAAATCGAGTGTTGCACATTAATTTTTTAATTTTTTCTTTTAATGGCTAATTAAGTAAAAAGAAGAAACTGATAATCAATTTTGCCATTGATATTTTCTGGTGGGTTTGTTGAAGTTACATTTAATTGATATTTAATTTTAGCTACTGGGATTGATGATGTCATTATTATAAATGAATACTGTAACTAGTAATATTAATTGCACTTGATACTAAATTTGCACATGTTAGGTAAATGTCGTAATTTCATTGTCCCCTTTATTTCAAAGAAGCGAGTGCGCTTACTTTGAAGAAGCGGGTGTGCTTCATTTCATGCTTATAGTCCCATAATCTTGTCATTTGCTTCCACTTTATGCTTTTGAAAACAAGTTTGTAATTAGACTGACTACAGTAGCCTTTATCGCTTCTCCAACAACGTTGCAGAGAAATAAATCAAGTGCACAGAGTATTTATGCTTTTTAATCATATCAATGTAGAAATGAGACGAGTTTGAAGATTATCTTTCATAGCTGTATGTATCTGTAAGGCAGAGCTGGGTTCCTCATTTGTAATGTGTAGGACAAAAGCAACCTCTTGTTCCCTATAATACACATTCTCATCTTTTGTCTTTGCATGCAAGGTTCTCCTTTATTTGCTGTAGTAAATTGTATGACTTTTTATCTGTTAAAATGATTTACTGGCTGTGGTGATTCCTTAATTAAGCTACGTGCTGGTTTCTTGCTAATACAATCGGCTTGCCTTGGAAATTGCATGACTTTTACCTTTTAATAAGATTTACTAGCTGTGGCTATTCCTTAATTAAGCTATGTGCTGGTTACTTGCTAATACAAATATACAATCAGCTCGCTGTGTGTCAGTACTATTACGTCAATATTGTTCAACTTCCAGAAATCTTCATAGATATGTTTTTAGTTAATCACATTGTGTTAGGTATATTCTGAAGAAGCTTTTAGTCCTTGAGCTCTTTTTCTTTTGTATTTGTTGAATCTTTTTTTCCTTCACTAACAAGAGAAGTAGGATAATTGAACAGGTGTGAGAATGATTGCCTACCGAATATTGACTGGGTTCTGTCACTTGCAAAAGCTGCAGTTTTAAGACATGGGGTGAATGGACTCGTAATTGATCCATACAATGAGCTTGATCATCAACGTCCTTCAAGCCAGTGAGTAACCTTTTATGCATTTCTCATAGTTGGTGAATGCATATTAACTTTTAATTTCATGATAATATCAGGACAACAAAATGTGTTGCTCAACTTTAAGATGCATTGGGTGAATTCCTACCTTCTCTCTGCATTTTCCCTTTTTACCTCTGCTATATTCTTTTGCTACTACTCTTATTCTTTTTCTCATAGTGCTTCCATCTGATGCTGCATTTAGAAGCAATCTTTTATTAGTCCTTCATTCTGCTGAAGGGTCTTATCTAACAGAGTTCCAAGAAGGAAAGGTGAAATTCTAAGAAGTTACATGGATCCTTGTCTTGCTGCGCTTCAAAATTCAGATAATGGGTTCTTTGAATTTTGAAATGCAGGAGAGAATCACATGGCTGCAAGTGGAAGAAGGGAATCTTTCCTCTCATATTATTGAGTGTGTAAATGGCAGATTCTTAAACGTTAGATCTAGAAAGGTCTAATCACTGTAACTTTGTGATTAGGAGAAATATAGTGTTCTTGCACACTCTATTTTAATGATTGGGAAATTGATAGTTATACAATGATGCTTCAACTTCTCTATGATCTCCCACCCTTTGGCTCTAACCCGGATCACTTAAAATGGAACTTGCATTCCAAAGGTGTCTTCGCCGTTAAAAGCTGCTACTATTCTTTCTCTAGCTCTTCAGCTTCTCCCATTGTCTGGCCTTGGAAAACAATTTGGAGGAACAAGGCCCCATATAAAGTGAAATGTTTCACTTGGATAATGGCAAACGGCAAATGTCTCACCTTAGACAACTTGCAGAAGAGAGGCTTCCAGTTGTGTAACCGATGCGTCCTCTGCAAAGAAAATGAGGAAGATGTTTATCACCTCTTCCTTCACTGCAAAGTTTCCCGTCATCTCTGGAATCTGGTTTTCAACATCCTAGGTAAATGGTGCATGCCTCGAACCTTTTTGGAATTCCTGTTTGCTTGGCGTAGGAAAGGAATCCCAAAACCTCTCATTGGTATTTGGAATACCATTCCTGCCATCATTTGCTGGATTATTTGGAACTAGAGAAACGCTAGAATTTTTTAAGACAAGAATCAATCGGTTCTCAAGCGTAAAGACAATTGCATATTCTTGCTTAGTTTTTGGTGCAACATGGTAGCGGCAAATTTGTTAGAGCCAGATGCTATGCTGGCTTTTATCTGTTCATTACATTCTCTGTGACGCACATAGCCTTTTTTTGATGTACTCTCTCCAGCTTTTGCTGTCTTACATCAATAAATCTTACATTTATCAAAAAAATAGAAGTATAGATTACCCTTGTCAACTAAAGCTGAAATTTTGAGAAGTCCAGGATTCTTGGTCATAGTCCTTTTACAATATGTCACCCTATACTGAGCTTGGTGAACCATCCACTTGTTTGAAAAGTCCAGGATTCTTGGTCATAGTCCTTTTACAATATGTCACCCTATACTGAACTTGGTGAACCATCCACTTGTTTTTGTCCAATTCTTTATCGCGATAATATTCTTAGGTGGCTCTCTTACCTATTGTTTCATCTCCATACTATGTATCACTCTTGACGTCAATTTTTTTTTGGTAAGGCACTCTTGACGTCAATATGAGTTCTTTTGGTGCTTAAAACATTAAAATTGTAGTAGCAATGGTCCATCTTCATTACCTCTCAATTTACATCTATAGTAACATGTTCTCTTTCCTTGCTGTGGAGTTGGGGTCATTTATAGCCCATTCATTTCCTTCTCAGGACTGAAACAGAGTATGTTAGCCAGATGCTGACAAAGATCAAACGGTTTGCGCAACACCATTCCTGTCATGTTTGGTTTGTTGCACATCCGAGACAGGTTGGTTGACTTAAATTGTTGTGTTACTGCTGCTTTGCTGCCTTTCTTTAAAATTCAATAATATCAATGACCATCAAACATGTTTTGCCAGTTGCATCATTGGGTAGGAGGTCCTCCAAATCTGTACGATATTAGCGGAAGTGCACACTTCATAAACAAATGTGACAATGGTATTGTTATTCACCGTAACAGAGACCCTTCAGCTGGCCCTGTGAATCAAGTGCAGGTTTGATTTGCTTAGTTAAGATCATTATTTGTTTACCTTAGATTTGAATATCGCTAAAAGTTCATTTACATAATTCTAGGTCTGTGTAAGAAAGGTGCGGAATAAAGTTAGTGGAACAATTGGTGATGCCTTCTTGTCATATGACAGGTACTTGGGTTTTTAATGCCAACTCCTACGCATTATTAGGAGTCTTATGTTATTATTTCTTCTTGCAACATACCATGTACTAAGGACTCAGAATGAAACCGGATCTCTTTATATTTTTAATGTGATCTAATAGCTAATTTACTTCTGCGAAATATTTTCCTTTTGCTGATTTTACTACAAAATGAAGGATGTTTTTTGAGAGTGCTGGAATTGGTGTAAATCACCACCTTTTTTTGCCAAATAAAAGCAAACTTTGCTTATCTTTCTAACTTGGTGCCTTATGCTGTAACACTCTGGAAACTCAGCTCCTCATTGCCCCTCACATCGAATGAAAACTCATGAAAGAGAATCTGTTCAGAATAGCAACTTCTTGAAGTGTGAAATGTTGTGACTTGAAACTGTTTGCTTCTCTACTTTGCAGGGTTACTGGTGAATTCATGGACATTGACGAGCACCCAAGCAAAGGCTAGTAAATTCTGGCTGTTCCTCCATTTTGGAAGGTAATGCGTATGCGATACTTGACTTTTGATGGAAGATCACAGGTCTACAAGAAGTTGGAGCCATACCTTGAGTGGAAAATCAGGTGGAAAAATCTCAGTGATTGCCCATTGGTTGGAAACATATATGTAACAGAGCATTATGCAGAGTTATGTTCTCTGTAGTGGAGGATCTTTTAAGATAAGGTAACAACGACATATTAAGCTGCACGAAATCTGTTGCGCCTTAGAGTATCCATCATCTTAGGGTATATCCTTACAGGGTGACACAAGATCAAAGTGTTGGATGCCTTAAACTTTTCCCCAGCTTTAGCTATTGTAAATTATTTACAAAGTGCAGATAGGCAAATAGTCAGTGCTTAGGTGAGCAGATGTCATGTTGTCAAGTAACAAATACGTGTAATTATAAAAAAATTATAGTTTCTTTTCTATTTTGGAGGCTTATTTCTGATAATTATTGGTATTACCTGTTGAGGCGGTTTGTATTTCTGTTACTTCACCAATTTGTAAAATTAATTGTGTTGCCAACATGTTAAAGATTGTCACTAAACATTAGATCTATGTTAGATGGTGTTTTACATATACTACCTTCAGGTAGTACGTTAGTTAGCACCTCCCCCGTTTTCCATTTCTAGAAAGTCCTCATTATCTCATTGAAAGTGGGAACTCTTCTGTCCTTCCATTAAAAAATTCAATAGTTGGTCAGGTTTCACATTTTCAACTCTCACTTACATTAGAGTTCATAGAAATAAAATCCACAAATGCTGAGACAATTCCACATGATAATCTTGGAAAGAATAATGACACTAAATTTACAATCAATTTAAGTTGTCTATGTGAAGGAAAAATTGAAAAAATAATGGAATGAGCGAAGAAATGGAGGGTAAATGGTGGCTTCGCGTCCAGTTCCGAAATAAATCTTTGGAATAAAAATAATGCAATTGATTATTTTAAAATCCTAATCAATCTTGAAATGGATCTTGAAAGCAGTTGTTATTCATTGGATTGAGAAGAGGCTGCATATTGGTTTCTTACAGCTGATATCTTCTGATTTTAATGCGTTGGACAACCTTTTTCTTTTCGCTTAGAGTAAAATTAAGAAATTGCCTGTGATCAAATGGGTATTTGAAGTAAAAGGGGTATAATTAGCAAATAGAAAAGGCGGATACGGGTGAAAGAATGAGAGTGGAAATTTTCGTGGCTTTGGCGGTACACCTTTTTAAGCAAATAGGTGGAATTGTGAGTTGTTGTTGATGAACATGAGTTTAATTATGTAGTTTGATTATATTGGATACGTTGAGTTATCAACTGGGGCATTGGGAGCTAACTGTTGGTCGTGTAAGGAGCTAAATGAGATTACATGCACGTGCCTGACAAACTTTTATGATTTGCTCTATGGTTTACATTAAAATGTTGAAATTTCTAAAGGGCTAAGCCTTAGACTCTATAGAAGTGTTTACGACTCTTAAACTATTCATATGTTGTTTTGTGCGACAGACCATACTATTTAAATGTTTCTTATAACTAGCATTATGAAATTCATGGTATGCTTTCAAATGATAGTTTTTTAATCCTATTCTCTTGGCTTTCGATAAAAGAAATGAAATAAGCTACTTGATATAAAGGAGGGGATTTCGTCAAAAGACACGACTTAAAACTAAAAGAGTAATTTTCAGAAATCGCTATAGTTACGTGGCTATTAACTTCCTATAGCTACATTATACGTATTCACTTCCCATAGTTAATATTTCACTGCTATCCGGTTGTATTCGATGTATTCGCGCTACTGTATTCAAAAATACAACCAGGAAATTCGCCTAATAAATAGGGAGTACAAATGTTTAATAACGGAAAGGGCAATCAATTTGCATGTATCACTCCTAAACAATCTCAACACACTCAATTCAAACACGTCTCATTATCATGCCATAATTAGAAGATCTTTTCAGACGTTTAACAAAACAAACAAAGCATTGTATTCAGCGTAAAACACAATTTGCAGAGCTTCAGCGAGACAATGATTTATTATTTTGAGTGTGTTCAAGGAATGATTTGACCGACCTTAATAGGATTGATTTCCTCCCGGCATTGATACAAGTACTCACAGAAGAATTAGTAATTGAATTTACGTGATGGCAAGCTTAACAATGTTAATTCGTCATTCTGGTAAGTTGAACAATGAAAATTGTATATTGATTATTCAATAGAGGGGATAGTGATAAAGGAGTATGCTTCGTACAGTGATTTAGTTGCTTCAATTACGAAGCAACTTGATATAGACTTGAGTTCGAAGTCAATTAAAATCGAATACAAAGTGGAAGGTTATTCTACGCCTATGGAAATACACAATGACATGGGTTTCAGGGTGTATGTAGAGTTGAAAAAGGAGAACATGAAATTCGAGATGTATCGATTGTGTATAACTACAGTGGATAAAGAAATTTCAGAAGGAGGAAATGTAAATTCAAAGTGACCTAATGCAACTTGACTCCACATATGGTGTGCATACAGTTAATACCTGTAATACACTTGCTCTAACGTCGTTAAATTCAGTTGAACCAATTGGGGTTTTCGAACCGGAAAGGAATTTGATTATTTCTAATACTAATAAAAAAAGGTGATGGCTGGACAAGTATACAAGGATAAGGCAACATTGAAGGCAGTGATGGAGCAATATGCAATTGCTACAGGATTTCAATTCCGGGTTGATATGTCAAATGCTATAAGGTTTGACTGCTATTACATATTAGAACTGTACAATATATACTGTATTTCATTGTATGTTTGTGTATTCATAACTGATTGTTTGTTGTTGTGTATACATAACTGGTTGTATGTCAGTGGTTCAAAAAGTAAATGCTGTGTATTAGTTGTCGGAAAAGTAAATACTATATCAGCTGTATTCATAATGCCCCATCTGTATCCATAATGCCCTGATTTATATACTTTATTCATTATTTTCCTGCTATGAACTGTATATACTATATTCAAATGCTATCAAGTTTGACTGCTATTACATAACCGATTCGATGTTGTTTTGTATACATAACTGATTGTATGTGTATTAAAAAGGTATTTGTAGTATGTGTTTCTAAGAATTGTGAATGCAAATTTTAGGCGTCAAGTATTAACAAATCCAAAATGTTCAAAGTTAGGCAGTTCCATGATAAACATACATGTCCATTGAAAGATAAGGTGTATGAACAACGTCAAGCAACAAGTAGGTTTATTGGGGGGCATGATTAGATCCACGTTTACTAATCATGACAGGAAATACATGCCAAAGGATATTTGATGATATGAAATTGAACTTTGGTGTTGATGTTAGTTACATGTTGGCGTGACGCGCTAGAGAAAAGGCAGTGAATTTCTTGAGGAGGGAACCATCTGATTCATACAATAATTTCTCGGGGTATATACCTTAGTTACTACTTATCTTGGTTCACATATCAAAATGAAAAAATCACCTGAAAAAAGTTGATTTATTTGTATATATCGTTGTAATTCGATTATTGTAGATCCATCGTCGTTGTAGATGGCATCCACCTAAAATTAACATACACAGGGACCTTTGTTTCGGCTAGCACATTGGATGGTGCAGGTAAGTCAATTTACTTAAAAAATAATACATACAAGATACACTAACATACAAAGTGCTCTTCTAAGTATTCATTACATCAGTACTGATATTTTGTATTTGTATGTAATTGTATTTACATGACATATCCTGTCACTAGCATATGGTGTAGTTGATTCAGAGAATGCTGCTGCTTGGTTGTTGTTCTTTAATGTCACGACCCAAAAAATAACCGTCGTGATGGCGCCTATCGTGGGAATAGACAAGCCAACTACTCAACCAATTCAACTAAATAAAAGATTTGAAAAATATGCGGAAGCAGTTAATATTTAAGGAAAACCTTTAAAAAGCAGAATAAAACTCGCAACTCAATACAAATCTCTCCCAAAACTGGGGTGTCACCGAGTGCATGAGCATCTACAACAGAAGATAGAATAATACAATGTCTAAAGAGTAAAACTGAAATATAAGTAAAGATAATGAAGGAGAGTCAAGGCCTGCGAACGCCATGCAGCTACCTCGATAGTCTCCTAAGATCCTTA